GTACAGTGTCAAACACATGCAAGAAAATCAGTCATCGCTTTCATAAAATCTTGATAAAATTACATGACGAAATTTGTGACTACCGGAATGGCGAAATCATCTAGATTTATTAGCATACATTCTTTCGTAACAAAGGTAATCATAATAGACAAATTCCAAAACTTCCTCTTGTCCGTTCATCTGTTGCTGTACGTTCGTTCTATTATTATGCCTTTCAAGAACTTCTCTGTCTCCTAGCTAATTCGCCCAATCGCTTGCCTTTGTTAATAAGTACGCAGTACCCTAACATTATTGAGTGATTTGCTTCTAATCTGCTAATGCAAGCCATACAAAATTTTTTTTCAGTTTTCTCCATTTCTAATATAGTCACGTCCGCAAGCAATTCAATAGACAAACTGTGATCATAGTGGTGAAGATAGCCTATATAATAAAAATCGTCGGTAAGGTTTCTCCTATCGCACAACCAGTAAGACATAATACATAAGCATATTTGCATGCAGAGATCTATGGCGATTCATTTGTCTTAACTTCCAAAAAATGTGAACGACCAGACACATTGAATTATAATCTAATTTTATGAATGCACTACTACCTTTTTCATCTGTTGTATTTTCAATGGTTTTTTATGGTGCCACTGTGAGACATCTGCGAAAACGGTACAAGCTTAATCCACTGCTGAAAAGTAATAAGCCTTAATGTTAGTCGGCTGGAGAACAGAACACCTAATTGGGATGAAAATGTTGTGCATTGAATGAAAGCTCAAATATTATTTCATTTCCAACCTGTTTGCGATATTGGCTATCAATAAGTTTGAAACAACCCTGTAACTGATCCTTGAATACATTTGCGTATCCTTTGTCCGCCTCGAGAACCAATCTGCATTGACTGGCTGGAAGCACTGCACAATTCTGGTGCAAGGTGCAGTCGCCAAGTACATTCGGTCATCTCGCCGATGAAACCTGGATCTTTCCGCTTTAGGGAGGCTAGCGCTTCCGGTCATTTCATGGATGCACTCGGTCTCCTTTTTAATCGACCCGGGAGTGCGTTCGATTGCCTCTGCCTAACTGCAGCCGCTCGTAACTACTGCAAAATAAAACGTATCCATGACGCGTCTGTAAGAGTCACATAATTTAATCAATTTGAAAGGTAATGTACCCTGTAATTTCAATCAAACGATAAAATTCAGTCTTATGATACTGCTAACAAAACTATATTTTCTACATATTGCGGCAAATTCATCTAATACATTGTTTTAACTACGTCATCTTTCCGTTATTTCATTTATTTTTCCCTCCAGTCCAGCACCATTCTTGTTTGTTCGACCTTGTGAGACTGACGTTCTAGCTTTACTTAACGAATTAAGGATTTCAGAACTCTTTCTTCAATGACTATTTTATCCTTCATCGTCAGTTGACCTTCAGAAACATGTTCTATATTCGAAATCTAAGTTTCTCTCATACCAAACACGGGTTCTTTCATTTAAAACATTTTTTAAAAGAGAAATAGTTTCCCTGTTAACACATGACGACTCCTCTGCATAGTCTGTCATAGAGGATTATACGGTATATGTCAGTCGTCTACAATGTTTGAGTGTTCTGTGAGATACTGTTAAGCCGATTAACTAAAAACAATTTCAGCTACATGACTGAACGAAAGTACATATCCATTAACAATTATACAATTGCGTATAAAATTTGGAATGTTTTTACATTTGAGGTTAGGTGTAACTGAAACAAGAGTTTTACAAACAAGTGAAAAACTTGGAAGAATCAATCAGAAACGTAGGACCGCCCAGGTAACTTAAGTTCCTAATTTGTTTACTTAAATGTAGCCAAGAGGATTTCAGAAGCGCCCAGTTGCTAATGTGACACGACAGAACAACTTCATACAAAGAAGCAATAAAAAAAAACTCAGTTCATTGTAAAAATTGCTTCTAGTATGTCAGGTGGTAGCAATTCATGGATTTTCGGATTGCGAACAGAGCGTTCGACAAGTACACAGTTTTGAAAGGTCACTGGATCTGTGACCGGCAGGTGCCTTGACCTTAGTGGCACTGTTCACGAACGATGGATGAAGTTTTTAGAATTGTGATGATGCAGGCTTGTTCCTTTTAAGAAAGTAGTTTCGCATGCGAACCAGCAGTATGACAAAACACGACGCGAGATTGAAGATGGTGCAGCTGATCACTGCCAACACGAAACAGAACAATTTTAAACGCTCACTGAGATTGAAAGACCGTGACAGTTGCTTACTACGGTTTCGGTCCTAGGCCATAAATACTATACCTGTTCCGAGACATCATTAACAAAAGCTAAAAACGTTTACAAGAACTTCTTGCAACTCTAACTCCATGTTGTTTACAACATTGTAACTTAAAGAAGAAAGAGTTTAGTCTGTCAAGGCTGGAATATCGGTCTTCCTTCACGATTCTCTCATGATGGCGCGCATCTTCTCATGCAGCTGATGGTGCGGTGTTGATCTCTACCAGCTGAATGTTTTTATTCCATCAGCCAGGAATGCTGCTACAACCATTTGGTAAGCGAAGCATGTGGTCTACTGTTTCCTTCCCGCAGAGTGGTAGGAATAATCAACAACTTCGGAAGGAAGGAAGGCGTGTGACTTCAACCGGGACATAAATTCGGGATCTCTCAGCTCTGAGTTCGACGTTCTACCGACCGAATAACCCCAGCCTGAAGCAGTGTGATAATCTTTTTTGTTCAAAGAAATTCGTGCCATTGTAAAGTTAAAATATGAATCCTTGGTTTTACTTACTTAGAATCGCCCACTGGCAGAAATGTTTAACTTTACAATATATACAGACAGATCTATGAAACTGTTACTATAACAATACATAAATAACATAAAAAGTAATTTGGCATTCGTCTTTGGACTAGTAAAGCAGAATCCTGAAGAAGAAAAACAATTTTACATAAACTGATAAGAATTCTCTGTTCTGAAGTTCAGGTTCAAGGAACTCTGTTCTTGTTCCGCTGCCAACCTTTCGAGGCTTCGCGTCGTAATCCGAACAGAGCCTCCATGAGTCATGTAATTGCGTGGGTCAATGGGTTCCCCTCTATTGTGAAGGCGATCATGCTGCGGTGGCCACGCTAGAAAAATAATTCTGTTAACTGAAACAAACTTCAAAAATCACGTAAGATATGACACCGAAAAAATAATCCATGGACGCCGATATAATAGCCAATCTTAACAGCAGGGAAGCACCTCCTCAGAGATGGCAGCGTGCTGATAATCTGCATACCAAATGGAGACCTACAGTGTTCAACATTCAAACAGAATTATTTAATAAAAAACTACGCATCTCTGTTAAGTTTCCCTGACGTTTATAACCTGACAATGAGTTGGTGTGCGCGTAAACCAGCATAAAAAAGTAAAGTAATTTGTTTCGTCCTTTCAAACTGTTGTCATCATGGATCGAGAGCCGAGGATCATTAACTATTATTCAAGCAGGTTACAAATCGATATCTTCTTCCATTACCATCTGCTAAGTTTCATTATACATCTTCTATATCTGAAACTGGAGCATTAATATAAAGTCCCTTGAAACCCCGATGAAGTAATATGCTAAAAACGCCAGTTTAGTTTCCAATTACAGTGGAATTTTCTCATTAACCATTAATTACGCCAAACGATAAACTTACCCTTTCCACAGCCTGCAACCACGAGAAAATTTAAAAAACAATTTTATTTGCGAACATCTGCGACAGTTGACGATGCCTTGGTATGGTCACCATGCCATGCTTGAGCTTACTAAACTGAGATCATGCTGTTTACGCCTTCGAGCAATTGACAATTGCCCTGATCTACCCAACGTGCAATTCAACATTAAAAGTTTAATAACTACCAGATTAAAGTAGCTTCATCTACGAAATTTTGAGTACTTTAAAGCCTTAAGATAACTTTAGCTGTGGCAGTAAAAATGACAAGCAGTAATAGATCAGTTTAGAGCATGATATGGCAAACTAATTGCCTGCAATGCATGAACAACAGTAAACAGTGTAGTTTCGAACAGCTCTCTTTCGTCTCCAAAGTTCCCATATATCTAATGCAAAT